TACCACATGTCTAGGGCTATCTCGCCTGCTTCCTACTTTTTAATCCAACTCGGATATTGCTCACCTTATTTCCACTGGGCCCAAGTACGCACTACCCGGTCTAGAGATTGAATTCACAATTACTGTGTCACCAAATTCAGGAACGAATGCTTTAATACGGTGTGGGGATTTGGCGAAGTTACCTGAGCAGATGCTGTGCTGCCTTTCAAAAATCTTACATTAAACTCTGACATTGTGTCACGTTCTATTGTGATTGGTTGAGCGGATAAATACCTACTCTCAATGAGGTTTTTTGTTTCAAACTTTTATATTTTGTCTAAAGCTCATTCTATATCTCAAATATTAATCATCTAATCCTACCATCGCTAAAGATGCTTGAAGAATGGTCGATTCCATATACCGTCCCAGACAGTATCTGTCTCCTGCCATAATCTATCTTTACAAGAGTCAGTTTAAAAAGAAATTGGAGCATTACAGCCTGAGCCAGTGAGAGGGTTTCATAATCAATCCTTGAATCTATGATACGAGATCCCCAACTCTAATATATCTCAAATTTCATAAGGTTAATATTCATATAAAATACTAATTGTAACTTAATTGTGTAGAATAATGGATCGCATGCAATATAGTTGAATAATTCAACTAGAGAAAATGAAAATAAACATAATGTATGTAAATAGAAATAAGAGACATGTCATAATAGGTTAAGATTCCATCTTAAGTAAATCAACAATGTTTTGCGGCAATTGCTAATATCAACTTGAGATGTTTCTTGATAAAACGTCAAATAATTTAAATAGGAGTCAGCAAACTTGTAGTGGAACCGGTGTGGTTGTGTGTTGTTGTATTAGAAACACGTCTGTATCTCCTGGTAGTATATCTCAAGGTAGTATTTCTCTAAAGGTTCAACTACAAAAAAATTGCCGGACACAACTTAAGTCCAACTGAAGATGTAAAGAAGACAAACATATATATAACGAGAATGCTTACGTTACATCTGTCAAACTATAACTCAATTAGAGCTCATCTAAATACACTTAGAAACCTACCAAACTCTATACGCAGCTTAATCGTTGCTAATACAAATACCCTCATCCACATGTAAGAAAAATGATAAAAATAATGTAAGCAATATTAATAAAAAAAAGAAAAACCAATAATCAATAATATCAACTATGAAAACGGCCATAATGTGCTGACAGTGTTTGAAAAATAAAACATTCTTATAACTTTAGCTATATCCATAATCAATACTTACTTTTAGTTAAAAGTAATTCATCCTAAAACATTCAAATATTTTATATAATTTATTTCCTGAAAAAAAAAAAAAATATAGAACACCAGAACACCGAAATTTATATATATATATATATATATATATATATATATATATATATATATATATATATATATATATATATATATAAACAAATAGGAGGCACGGTGGCGTAATGGTTGGCGGTTTGAATTGAGGAATCAGAGAGCCGAGTCCGAATTCCAGTCGAATCCATTACATTCCACTTACGTGCTAATACCCTTGGGAAAGGTGTGAATCCTCTTCTTCTCCCTCCAGCTATGGGTAAATAGCAGGATAGACTGGGTTCTATAACCTTGGATGGCAACTGGTCTAGGAGAAGGAAAACTCTGAATTCAAAACCTGCGGAGGGTCGTTTGGTGACCTTGTGGCACTTAGTGCACCAGGTCTCTGTATTCGTCCCTTCAAAAAGTGTGGATGGTCCTGCACGAAACCTTCACCACTATAATCGAATCTCATGTCTTGTTGTCGGTTTCCTAGGGACTGATCTGCTTGACCTTCATACGTCGAATTCGACGGGAGAGTCGAGCATATAAACAGTATATGTATTAAACAAAACAATTTTACAATGGACTTAAACATTTGTATGTGTGTAAACATTGGTGTCTGTTCTTTGGTAAATGTTCGTATTTTGGTGAATGTTCGTACGTACGTGTGTCTGTGAGTAATGTCCATGGCGTCTCCCACGGATGGGAAGACGCGTATGTTCTAAGAGAGCTTACATTGTAGTCGCTGAAATGAAGAAATGAAAAAGAGAACGAGGCGAGAAGTCGCCCAGTATTTATAGTACAGAGAGAATGACCCCTAGTAACAATTTGGGGATTAAGGAGGTGGTAACTCCGACAACCTTTTGCTATGTGCGGACTCAGGGTTTTAAAATCATTCAGTGTACCCACAGCATACGTATTTTTAGGTCAATATACGTGTTCTACAATATATTTCATATCGTAATAGTATATATACTTTAGTCTTTAGTATACATTAAATTTTTTACATATTCCAACTTTTTCTTAGTTTTTCATATAATTTTAATATTATAACTTTGGTTAAAATAATTCCTATATTACTGTAGGCTTACTATACGCAATTGTAACATTTTAATTATATTTTCTCATACTATTTTAATATCGCTTTTATTAAAAAAAATAATTTTTATGATACAAATGGAAACTCGGCTTTTCAATAAACGTGAGACGAAAGTGAAACTAACTGAATGAAAATGATAAAAAAATCAAACAGACATAAAACATTAGATTGACGCGAGACCAGGAGTTGGTAACCCTTTCCTATGTGTTGAATTAGGGTTTTAAAATCATTCAGTGTGCCAACAGCATACGTATTTTTATGCAAGTCAAAGTCAATATACCTGTTCAAACAATATATTTTATATAGTAATATATACAATAATATATGAAATGGACAAAGTCCGACAATTATTTTAAGACATTTTTTATGTTTATACGTTCTTTTTATAGATACAAATATTTAAGTAAATGCTCTGTTTATAATAAACAGTATTAACATCATTTACCGGCCTGAATGTCCGAGAAATTTTCATATCAGACAGGAATCGAACCTGTATCCTATACGGAACCGTCATATAGCCGGACTTGCTTTACCGATTTATCCACAAAGGAGCGTTTCGGTTAGCAAGGTCGATTTTACTGTTTTTAATTTACAATTCTACATGATTTTCTCTCGTATATTCATATCTGCTCGATGCGTACGCAAATGTAAACAAATGACGTCACACATTATGAAATGGACAAATTCCGTCAATTATTTCTCGTACATTCAGGCAGGTAAATGTTGTTTAATACTAGTTTAAGAGTAGTTTGCCATTTCTTTCGGCGGTAGACTAGTTTCCATCCAAGGCTATAGAACCCGTTCTGTCTTGCTATTTACCCATACCTGGGGTGGGGAGAAGAGGATTCATACCGTTACCAAGGGTATTAGCACGTAAGTGTATGTAATAGATTTGACTGGAATTCAAACTCGGATCAATCCATTACTCCAACGTGCCTCCTTTTATGAGTTACGGTCATTTCATGAGTCAGTTATGTGTCATGCGTGATACACTCTTAGACGAGGGAGAATTTTCTCCCGCAGTAGGTTGCCATTTCCTTCTGCGGTAAACCAGTTGCCATCAAAGACAAAAGAACCCAGTCTGTCCTGCTATTTACCCATAGCCGGAGGGGAAGAAGAGGATTCAAACATTTTCCCAGCGGTATTAGCGTAAGTAGATGTAATGGATTTGACTAGAATTCGAACTCGGCTCTCTGATTTCTCAATCCATTACTCCTGTATCTCTAAATAATTTATAAACCCTGAATATACAAAAATACTCATAAAAATGAGAACCAGCAAGATGTGGAAACAATAAATAAGTCTTATTTATTATTTGGTTTTATTTTGGTGTTGTAGACACAAGAGACAGTAATCAGTCAGTTATGTGCCATAAGTGATACATGCTTAGGCGATCATGTATCTTTTGATACATGACTGACGAAGCAGATTTTTTCTCGCAGTAGGTTGCCATTTCTTTTTGTGGTAGACCAGTTGCCATCCAAGTCTAAAGAACCGTAGGCTGTCCTGCTATTTACCCATAGCTGGGGGGAGAAGAGGAGGATTCACACCTTTCCCAAGGGGATTAGCACGTAAGTGAATGTAATGAATTTGACTGCAATTCGAACTCCGATTCCTCAGTCCGAGCCGCTATCCATTACTCGACCGTGGAGGGAGCTGGTTTGCCGTGGTTGTCAACTCTTTCTTATTCATGACTCCCTTTTTGATTGATGATTTTTTTAATGGGTCCCACCGAGCCGTTTACTTTAACAAAAGCTCGTTTTACAATTTTTGAAACAAATAAACAGTGATGTTTCTCCATATAAACATTAAACTTGCTTGTTATTTTTTTTCAAGGCAATTAAATGAAATAAACTTTTATTTCGGCAAAAAACGATTTGCACATAAATGCATACAGAAATTTTAAACGTTCTGCAAAATAAAAAAAGTAAAAAATAAAATTCTGCAAAATAAAAAAGTTCAGCACATAAATTTTACATAAATGCAAACTAGTAACATAAAAGACACTCGAAAGTTATTTGGTGTAATTTGCAGTGTAAACCCCGCATATTAGTTCTAATTGAAATTTCCTGAAAATTTCCATTTCGATCTAAATTTACATGATTATTTCGAAAACAACAGTAAAAGTTTGCGGAAACCTACCGTTTTTGGAGTTATCGACAGTAAAATTTCGGACTCATTCGCGTCACGGCTACAGCACGGCAGCCATTACTGTCGTTTTTTACATACGTTTGCCTTTAGTTATCATGCGGGGAAGCTTCACTTGTCTTGATTAATGCGCACTCAATGCGCAAACTTTGCGTGAAATTTAAAAATTGCATGATCATTTACAAAATAAATAAATGCTAGAAAGGAAATAATAATAACAAGAACAAATTTTAAGGTTCAAATTTTTTTTTAAATCTGGGGTTTTAAAAAGCATGATTATTTACAAAATACCAGAGAAAATTGCGGAAAGGCTACCTTTTAAAACTTGTTTTATTATTTAGACAAGAATTCATTATTATTACAGTTTCGCTATAAAAAAAACAAGACTTGTCATTGCTTTTGTAAATAACTTAAACAAACTTTTAAAAAAATTTAAAAAAGTTTCATTTTCAAAAGTGTCTAAAGACTTCATTAGGTTTTGCGCAATAACTAAAACGAGTAAGAAGAGGAATATCAGTAAAAAGGTCGTTAACTAACTAAGCTTCCGCGCAATGATACTAGAGAATAACGTATATAAACAACGCCAGTAATGGCGGACGGACCCAACGCGAATGAGTCCAAACTTTTATTGCCGATAACTCGAAAATGGTAGATTTCCGCAAACTTTTAGTGCTATTTTCGAAATAAGCATGTAAATTTGCAACGAAATGCAAATTTTAATTACAATTGTTGTGCGGGGCTTAAACAGCAAATTTACCCGTTATTTGATAAGACATAATTAATGCATAAAGATGAAAAAGTTCTCATTTATTTAAAAGTGATTCTTCAACCTGATGCTCATCTGCAAACTTTTCAATATCAATCTCGAGTATTGTCAACAATAGACGAATATCACCTCTTTTTATGATGTCACGTTGGTTACGATTATTTTTGTAAATAAAGCTCAAAAATATATTTCAATTACATAATTTAATATTTGTCTATATTTCTGAGATGAGGTATTATGTACATTATTTACATTATTCAGACTATTGTCCTCATCTTTGTCGCCATATTTATTACAACGTTTTCGGCCTTCTTCAGGTAGTTGGAATGTCGAACTGCACTATTTATTTCGCTCACTGGGGTAGACTGTTCTAGTTAAACGTGCCATGGAGAGAAAAGGGAGATCACCACCCTCTGGGGGATCAAGTTAAGATCATAGACAAAGAACACCATTGTAAAATTCGTAAACTTAAGGAATCAGCACATATGCTAGACCACAAAAATCTCCTGAGCCGACCAAGCATAGAAAGGAATACGATATGGGAACCAGTAATAATGAGTGCCAGAGAAAATCGATAATAAGAACAAAAAATGCAATATGAGCTCTGGTAAAAACAAGAAATGATAACAGCAAAAATTGCAATATGAGCACTGGTAAAAATTGTCCTGAAGATATTAGGTTTATAATACACAGAAATTTATACGCAGTTGTCCTCAAGGACACATGACACAGTGGATAAAGGCGTTAGTTAGATCCAGTGACAGGACCCAAAGTGTGTGAGTTCAATACCCAGTTAAGGCAGGCGGTAATTAACAGGAGATAACTGACAACTGATATCCATTAAACATGGCACGTGAAACTAGAACAGTCTACCCCAGTGAGCGAAATAAAGGGTTCAGTTCGACCTGAATAAGACCGGAGCGTACAACGGCCGAAACGTTGTAATAAATATGGCGACAAAGATGAAGACTTCGAGCAATGTAAATAGTGCACATAATTTAAGTTTATTAGAACTAAAATATAAAGGCCAAGTTGCTCCTTTCACTGAACGAGTGATTCCCCCAAATCCCAATTTTTTTTGTGACTTCTGTAAAATCTATTAGCCACCCTCAGTGGCCCTCGCTTAAGAACCACTCTACTAAAGTGAGGTGAGGACACACAGAAACACAAAATCTGGCATTACGCGACTTTAGATATAAAAAAATGAAAATAAAGAAAGAACAATATGGAGCTGGTAATGAAACAGTGGAGCATTGGAAACAAAGAATGAACGATGGACATTAGGATGTGACGGTGACCCAAACAGCAAAATCTAAAACAAAATCGGTGGAGAGAGAGAGAGAGAGAGAGAGAGAGAGAGAGAGAGATGAAATTGACAGATGGCAACCCTATCAGTTGTTGAGCGATTGGGCTGGCTAACTGCCATCCCCTATCTACACGACCCCTTTTACCAACACTGAACTTTTCACAATGGATTCAACGGGTTTCAAAAAAAAAAAAAAAAGAAAAAAGAATTCACTCATTTCGTCTCTACTGACCAGTTTCCCCAGTCCCAAGGGGGCAGGGAATTGTCTCGTAGTTAAAAATCAGTTTGTCTTGGGTATTGTTTGTGATCGGCCTAGATTGTTTAGAAGGAACTGAAGAGTGAGTTCTTTGTGATAACATCGACTGTTTCAGTCTCGCTACTCATTTGTTGTTGAATGAAACACAGCCCCTCGCGAAGCATTATGTGGCGTTTTCGCTTTATAAGAGTCAAAATCACTCAGGTTTTCTTCTTCTTCTTCTTCTTCTTCTTCTTCTTCTTCTTCTTCTCCCTCCTCCTCCTTCTTCTTCCTCCTCCTCCCCTTCTTCCTCCTCCTCCTCCTCCTCCTTCTTCCTCCTCCTCCTTCTTCCTCTTCTTCCTTCTCCTCCTCCCCCTTCCTTTTCTTATTCCTCCTCCTCCTTCTTCTTCCTACTTCCCCTCCTTCTTCTTCTTCCTCCTCCTCCTCCTTCTTCTTCCTCCTCCTCCTCCTCATTCTTCTTCTTCCTCCTCCTTTCTCTTCTTCTTCCTCCTCCTCCTTCTTCCTCTTCTTCTTCCTCCTCCTCCTTCCCCCATCCTCCTCCTTCTCCTCCTTCTTCTTCCTCCTTCTCCTTCTTCTTCTTCTTCTACGATGTACCTTGTCCCTTCAGCACACGGTTCAACACAACTTCCTATCCTGTTCAACTCTTAGTAATATTTGTCTTTATTTTACCATCCCCAGACCCTGTTCTGCCATTCATTCAAATATCTGGGGCTATTTTGACCCCTGTTCCTTTTGTCTTATATATGTCCTGCGGCTATCAAATATTCCAAGCCATCCTGTTCAAAATATTATGCATCTCTTTCTGAGTATAAATGTCCTTTTGGTTTCCATTTTCTTCAAGATTCGAACGCTGCTTACGCGCTCTGTCCACGGTATTCTCAGCATCCTTCTGTAGAACCATATTTCTACTGCCTCCAATCTTCTCTTCATCTCTGAGGAGATTGTCCAGAATTCACTAACCTATACAAGGATTGACATTATATAAAATTTCATCATTTATTTTTTTCTGTTTCTAACGAAATCTTCCTGTTTTTTCCGTACTCTGATTAGCTTTTGAAGGCATTGTTATGATCCAGAATGATGATGATATTTCATCATTCTAAAATCTGAAACTTCCTCATTATAAAAACGAGCCTTCTACCGAAAACGGGGGGATGAGAGTAGTAGTAGCAGTAGTAAAAGGAGCAATACAGACGCACCACCATAGCTACGTGAAAATGGACAGTTGACGGTTTCAAACGCTACGCTTAACCACCAATTTCTCGGAACAAGCAAAAACAAGTAAATACAAACTTTTAAAGAAACAAAAGTGACAATAACACTGAGGAAAATTTTTGATACCCACTATAGTATCATTGTAATTTACAATACGTAAAGAAAAATACACATTCTTGGTTTGGTTTGTTCTACGGTATATCAACCCAACAATGGGTTATTTAATACCGACAGGATTTTATTTGTGGTAATTTTTTTTTTTTAAATGTAATACTGCTAATATTTTGTTCCAAAAATCTATTGCTACTATTAAAACCCATTTTTACACTTTCATAGTGTCTTGAAGCGAGTTTCGGGGTTGCCCATAGTTGGGACCCTAACAGGTGCTACCACTACGGGTCAGTCTGGACCCGTGAACACCAGCAATTAAGAGGTGATCCCACGCTCCTTAAAACCTCCTGATCAGAAGCCTTGCTGTTGGATGTAGTTTATCGTCTTATACAGGACGCGGATTCTTCTCATTAATGTCAACACGTGTCTCAAAGCTTTATTGTCTATGTCATTGTTGTACGCTTTATTCATTTCCTTTCCAATAAAAAAAAAAAAAAGGTAAAAAGGATTCCTCTGTCAATTACAAATAATATAAGAACTAGGTAATTACTTTAACAAAACAACATTCATACTCCGCAGTATCCTTGCTATTCTCAAACACCTTCGGATTTCAGTTGGTTGGTTTATATTTTAGCAGCATATCAACACCTTTATGGGTTATTTAATGCCGAAATCTAAATATTTTTAACACAATTTTATGGCTTCATTAATTATATTTTGAACGCAATTGTATGCCTTCAACTTGTTAGTCATTTTGCTTTAAATATATATTGTTGATAATTTTGATATAAAAATGTATTGTTGGTTGGTTGATTACGTATAGCGGCATATCAACACTTCTATGGGTTATTTAATGCCGAAATCTAAATATTTTTAACACAATTTTATGGCTTCGAATAAATATATTTTGAGCGAAATTATATGCCTTCAACTACAGATAAAACGTATTGTTCATAATCTTTTTATATAAAAATGTATTGTTGGTATTTTTACGACAAAAATGTATTTTTGTAGTTTCATAGGGATTCACCATTTACGCATAGCCGGGACCCGAACAGTTACTACCACGCTTCGGATTTCAGTTTCTAAACATTATTACATTAATTTTTAATGTTTCAGTTGATTTCCTGTCCGAAATCTGAAAGTAATGATTTTTTTTAATATTTACACAAAAGCATTTGATACAGCGCAAAAACGAATATAAAATACAAAATCCTGCTATATTTACATAACTAACAAACTCGTAATCTATTCCAAACTGGAACGAAGTGACCAAATATGGAAATCATCAATATTGAATAGCAAACCCTAGTTCACAAGCAACTAATTTCCTACAAAATTAACGGCGTTATGTACTACTACCACATACTTCAGTATCGTTATGTCCTACAGTGTAACTTTGTCAATGTTCAATCCTCTGCACTGTGTAAACTAATGTATGTATCTATGTGCTTGTGTGTACATAAACTGGAGATAAACATATGGCATTACAGGGATACAAATGGCAATTATCTCCCTTTGGTGGAAATGAAGTAACGTGAGTTACATGTCCTTCGTTTAGTGATGTCAAACCTTAGTGACGAAAGTGGCAGTCAATCAGTCCTACGGTCAGTCAGCTTCTAGGAGTCAAACCAAGCAGTTCCTTTTCTGACGGGGTTCCCTTGGTCTGGTCGGAGGCAAATCTGCCTCCTCCAAGACGTGGTGCAGCTTACAAGCATATGGCACGGTTTTCTGATGGAAACACATGTTCATCAGATATAGAAAACATTCCCGGCTCGCAGTTCTCATGTTGGGAAAAACCCAAGACTTCACGGTTTGCGGAATGTGTCATCGTTAGGGACATAGCAAATAAATCCAACCACTCGAAACTGGAATCTTAGATATAGCTTCCCCAGAAACCAAGAAGGATCTCTATATTATATGCAAGACTCACTATGTTTTCTTCAGTTTCACTCTGCTTGTTGTTGTATACATGTTATAATTTCTCTGTGTGGGTCACGTGCAAATACAGGGTGTCCATAAAATTCGTGTAAACTTTAAAAAATTATAATTTTATTTACTTTATTTGTATTTGCGATAGAAATAATTTGCAAAAAAATGTTATAAAGTTTAACGTACCTAGTTTTAAGTATAGCTAAAATAACTAATGTCATTTCAGGCATTACTGTAAATCAGTTGGCAATTTTTTTTCCGTGAACTGCAAAATCGTATTACCCTTTGTATTGCTAATGATGGAGGACACGTGGAAACTTAAATAAAATTTCAATAAAATATTAAAAAATATAGATTTACTTCTTTCTAATTGTTTTTACAAATTATTTCTATGGCAAATACAAATAAAGTTATAATTTTTTTAAAGTGCACACGAACTTTATGGACACCCTGTATACATATTTAATTTCATGTATGACTTAGTTCTACCCGTGAAATATTATACATATCATCATAGATATAATAATGTCAACAATAGGGGAAATGCAAACTGTGAGAATACAACTTTCTTCGATATCTTACCCATTATGTTGATCACGCCGACGTGACATATTACTTAACTTCCATTAGCATCATAACTATGATTCGCGATAAATGTCTCACGAGATTTATCGAGATTTCATATAGTCAAAATGCTTTCATAATTACACTAATTAATTTACTTTGCTAAAATAATTTCTTCTTCGAACAACTCATTCTATAAAGAACCTTTTCTTCTATCAGTTTGAGTCAAAAGTTGTTTTATTTTTTTCAGTATTAAAATAAAACTAAATACCTGGTTTTCTTTGAAATAGTTTTATTCAAACCACTGTATTCTTGACTCTTTTCAATTTGCGTCATATATATAGAAAGAATTTTATTTTTCAATCTGTCATATTTTTATTATTTCAAACTAAATTTTTCCGTTTTTAAAGGGTGTATATTTCGTCTACTAGCTTGCGCTCTCATAAAAAAAAAACAACAACATCGTCTACCAGCCTTACACATAAAATAAACGTGTCCTCCAGCAGGATACGAAACTACGCCCCCGTTTCCAGAAGAAGCCTCCATCCGATCCTTGACAGCTCGGCTACGGAGAACTTCGCAATCAAGCAAGGTACTTATTTGCCTTTGATGCACATTGACTCTTTCAGATATTCTCGAAATCGATATCTGTTTAATTTCGTATCCAAATTGTAAATGAAGCATTTCCTAAAGAATCAATGCAGAGATATTTTCGATTATATTTGGGTCACTATCGGTGTTTTCTGACTTTTGTCTTTAATTTTCCCTATTTGTTTATTTTATTTTGTCATATATAGATATACACACACACACACACACACATATATATATATATATATATATATATATATATATATATATATATATATATATATATATATATATATATATATATATATATATATATATATATATATATATTTGGTTGGATAGATGTGAGTTTTTGACCCTGGGTTTCACCTTTAGCGATCGTCAAACAAACTGATTACTGTTTTAAAAAATTTGGGTTTATGTAGATTGCGTGTATTGGTGTTATTGTGGAAGTGGTGGGGAGATTTCGTCGTTTTGTCATTCATCGTACTAACGCAAACATCGATGTATGCAGACATATACATATACATACTTGGTCGTCCGTCAGGACTCATACATATATATAAATACACGCAATCTACATAAACCCAAATTTTTTTAAAACAGTAATCAGTTTGTCTGACGATCGCTAAAGCGTGAAACCCAGGGTCACAAACTCACATCTATCAACCAAATATGTTAGCTCTATCTCTGATATTGGTACGCTTTCTAATAAAAGTACCGCGCATATAATATATAAATAATTATACATATATATATTTATTTATATTTATATTCACTTTTCACATATATATATATATATATATTTACTTGACCCTCCCCCACCACTGAGCCAGGTTGTGACACAAGGTCAGTTTTCAACGTGGAGACCCGAGCGTTTTCACTCGGGCCGCTGGTACAAGCTGGTCTTAGCTGGTCATAGCTTTCGAAGCTGGTCAGAGCTGGTCTAAGCTCGTCATAGGCGTGATACCACCAGCACAGGGACGGAGCCCTGTGCCAGGTAAGTATATATATATATATATTATAAATTGACTGATTTTGAATATGGTTTCTTCGCTACACAGTAATAACCATGTTTCAAAATCTGAAGATAAATACTTCAAATTTAATTATATAATTAAATTAAAATCGTTATTTCTGTTTCATCTTCACGCGAATTTTGGAATAAATAGAAAGA